TATATAGCTGCTTCACTGCCTTAACTTTCAAAATAATACATGGGGAGCAAAAGCTATTGACATGAAACTGCTTCCCAGCATAAGTGTGTAGACTTTGCCCACCTATACCCTCCCTCATGTGTCTATAAATAGACTCCGTGTCTTATATACACTTTATGAAGTTCACATCTCTTCAACTTTACACCAGTTTAAAATGTATAGAATACTATCTTTAGAACTGTGGTTTTGATGGTTTTCTTTCTTATGAAACAATTATTGTTGGTTTCAAGTGATAAATATTATTAGGTTGCACCATGTATTTATCTGCCCTGTTTTCTTCTCCATATATGTTTTCCAAACTGGTTGTAAATTTTCTGAAGTTAGGGTCATGGGTTATACATGTCCCAGTCTATTCCTTGTAAGAAAAAGTACTCAGCCAGATGTGGTGCTATACATCTGTAATCCCAGCACACTGGGAGGTTATAACAGGAATATCCCAAACTAGAGCTCAGCCTGGGCACCCTGGCAACTGAATGAGACTCTATCTCAAAATCAAATACAGAAAAAGGACTGGGGAGGTAGTTTAGTGCAAAGGCCCTGGGTTCAAACACCAGTGCTGCAACAAGAATAACAAAGAAGTGCCCAAAGCTTGAACATAAAACAAACATGTAAGGCAGGCAAATATACTTTCAATATCATGTTAAAGCTTTGATACCGTTGGCTGCCCCAGGATATTTCATTGTCTAGGAGAACAAGGAAGACAATTGTATTGGTTCAGTGTGTCAAGCCTAAAGTGTTGCTACCCATTATTTTTAATGGTTTTCATAAAATATATTTCACATACCATAAAATCCATCCAGTAAGCATACAGTTCAGTGGTTTTTAGTATAGTCACAGAATTGCAATTTAATTTTAGAATATTTTCAACACAAGAACACTATAACTGATTAAAGTCTCAGCACCTTAAAGTTCTATAATAATGTGTGAATCTTTATTCAGAAGAGAGGAAAATTATTTGTTTAGTAACAAAAATAACTCCATAGGTTACAATTTTGTTTTGGCATCTAACCAGATGGTATCTAACCTGGGAAAATTATTTCAACATTCCTTCTTTTAATGCTATGGCTTGCTTCTTTATTGTCCTTTGATGCTGATTTATCAACCAACATGAATGAATGAATTACATCTTTGATACATGTTCATTCTACATTTATATGAGAGGCATAGTTTTAAACATATGTTTAAACTCTTAAACATATTCTGATGAGCTGAATTTTCTTAGCCTGAAGATGGGACATAGTGGGCAATGAACAAAGATAACCTAATTGACTGGAAATCTGTCTGATTTTTAAATACTAGGAGGGAGAATGAATTTTCACATGGCCTTAAAAATAAGCAAATAAAGTTGCATATTATTTCGTACTTTCATTTTCAAATTCTGAAATTTTATGCCAGTTAAATTTAAATGAAGCTATTTACTGACTTCTACAAGAAAGTTGGAAATCAACAAAATATTCTAAGAATACACAATATTTTTGTGTACAATATTTTTACAAACCTATAAACTTTCTTTTTATGTAAATAGCATATGCAGTGAAAATGCAGTGAAAATTTTTAAAAGTATAAAAGGAAATGTAAAAAAATGAAATCTTCATGCCATTACTTCCCTCAGGTACCTCAGGGTAGCTCTTGTACATTTCTTGTGCATCCTTACACACACACACACACACACACACACACACACACACAGACAGAGTTTTTGAACTTTTTATTCAAAATTATGCAATAACAAGATAACAAGGCTGGCTTTTCAGCTCACTGTTGGAACATGGCCCTAATGTGCAAGACTCTGAGTTCAATCCCCAATGCTTGAGGGGGAAAAAAAGACACCATCTGCATTATTTTGTAATATTTATTTGTTTTGAGACAGGGTCTCGCTATGTAGTTCAAGTGGGCCCTGAACTCACCATGTAACACAGGCTGACCTTCAACTCACAGTGATCCTCCTGCCTCAGCCATTCCCGAGCACTGGGATTACAGGTATGCACCACCACATCTCACTTGTAATTATTTAATATTTATTAAAAATTGTTTAATGTCCATAACATATCAGTGCATTGAGACAAGCATCTGTCACATGTGTCTGCAGACTGGCTGCTTTCCATTCCTTTCCCTGATGTCATATATTTTCCCAGTCACCTCTTGCAGGAGCTGCCAACTCCACTCCTTCCCCTGTTATAGCCACAAACGCCTTTCAGTATGGTGGCCATAAGGACTCTTTCTGTGTGGGGGCCAGAGTGCTGCCCATTCAGGGCAAAGTCAAAGACTTTATAATGGTCTATGAGGGCTGTCCCATGACAGTTGCCCTTCCATCATCTCCCACTTGCCTTTCAGCCTCATCTTCAACCACTCTTCCCCCATTCCATTCTTGAGTTTTTTAAACACAAGGGGCACGCTAAATCCGCAAACACAGCCCTCTCCCAAGCACAGGCCCCTCCCCTATCACACGCCCCCTCCCCAAGCTCAGGCTCCATCCCTAAGATCTCTTGCAAGGGATTTTCCCTGGCCCATTTTATGTCTCTGCCTAAAGGTCGCTTCTCATTGACTCTTCCTTAACAGTGCCCCCTGCCCATGCACTGCCATCCCACTTGATGCCTACTTCTCTTTCTGTGTATCCCTATCGGCACTGACACACCATATAATTTACTTGACTCCTGCCTGTGTACAAGCTCCAGGAGACCAAGGAATTTTGTTTTTTAAAAAGCAGAATATATTTGAGAGAAAAAGATTCTGAGAGAGACAGAAGGGGTCCCCAGTGGGTTGCCAAAAACCCTGTCTTTTCTAGAGACTTTTATAGAGTAAAACCAGGAGGCGAGATGGTCCAACATCAGAAAACCTGGGAACTCACAAGGCAGAGAGGCATGAAGTGTGTACAGAACTATGAGACCAAGGAATTTTATCTTTTATCCATTACTGGATACTCAGCACAAAGTCTGTGCCAGACAGTATTAATTGAATGAATGGATGAATTTATGCACATGTAGTACTATTTATATACTTGAGTTCTATTAGTGCAACCCAGTCTACTATAATTTATACACTGCCATATTTTGGGACTTTCATATCGTTTGATCTCTTATGACTTGGTGAAGCTGCTTAACTTCTCAGAGTCTTAGTTTCCCTTCTATAAATCAAAGCTAATATATCTTTTATGGCTGCTGTGAAGATTAAAACTCTTTAAAATTTTAAAATGGTTGGCATGCCATGGATGGTGGTGCATCCCTAAATCTCAGCATTCAGGAGGTTAAGGTGAGAATTTGAGGCCAGCTTAGGCTACATACATGACTTCAAGGCCAGCCTGCATTACGTAGTGAGACTCGGTCTCTCAAAAGCAAAACAACAAAATGGTTGGCCTCACACCTTACTTACAGTAAGTTCTTAATAACATGGTTGTGATTCTTTCTTTTTAATGATTCAATTAAATTGAATTAATGAGACTATATGGTTTAATATCTTACATGTAATATTAATATATAATCATTTATACAAATTATATACAGGAAAACCAAGTTCTTATTTTTAAACTTGTGTCGACTTTCAGAGATTGTCCCTTTATAAAACAATCAATGTAAACCACTTTGTTCTTTTTTTGGAGAAGCAACAACAGCTATTGAAAAATATTTTAGATCTTCAGAGACTTTATTTTTGCATTTCTGTTTTCTAGCTGTTCTTGAACAATAAATGCGCTCATTAAGTTTTGCTTATTAGAGGGAAGGAAGGATGAATCCCAGCTGGCAGAAGTAAGTTCATATTGTTTGAAAAGCTATAATGTGCTAGGCACTGCGGTGGGTAACGGAGATATAAAAAGAACATTCTGTGGTTGACGTTTATTTCAAGACTTCTACACAACAATCAGTGAGTTTGGAGCATGTGTTCTGATTTCAGAAGTAGTTTTTTAACTGGGGGAGGGGGAATTTAGTTTCATCACCTTGTGCCAAGAAAAAAAAAATCCAGAAAAATGTCTTTGCCACAATTTCTCTGAAGAGCACTTCAAAGAAACAAAACGTCAATGGTTTATCAAGTAGACATCAAGAGTAAAGCAGAATATACATCATAGTGGGAAATCCTATGATGATTCAAGACCTCTATGAATTCCTGTGGTTCCTAGTAAATCCCCACATGTTTTGCTTACTGCCACATCTCCTTGTCAGGAACAAGCGTGTAACAGTTGGACCTGCTGCTTAAGGCAGACAAAAAGCTCTGACCCGAGCTGTAAGACTTGCCTGAGAATCCAGCTCTGCACGCTGGCCCTACGCAAGACAATCTTGAGCCTATCTCCCCCTCTGTAACCTTGTTTTTGAAAAATTAACCTCCTGAAAATTGAGAATGCTGGGAAAATTTTCTATCTTCTGGAAACCGTTGTGACAACCAGACTGGTTCTGAGAGGTAAAAAAGCTTCTCTGCTCCATCACCTTTCATCCAACATCTACAGAGTGCTTGTCTGAACTGTGCTACCTACATGCTGAGGACATGGTAAGACACCAGATTGCATCCCTGTCCTTGGCAAGTACAAGGTCCCCCTCCAGGATTTTATTTCCAGGAAGTAATTCATTCATAGCAAAAATGTTTTTGCTGTAAGATGATCTGTGGATGAGTACATCCACTTTTTCATTACAAAGAGTATTTTGCCTTTTCCAATTAAAAACAATATACTAAGCTGGGACGTTAGCTCAGTGGTGTAAGCACCTGTCTGCCCGGCAAGCGTGATGTCATGAGTTCAATCCCTAGTACCAAAAACAAAAAACAAACAAACAAAAAAAGAAATGAAAACGAACACACTGTGGCAGGGCCAGCCTGTTTCCTGTGAAAGTGGTAGCCTGGGTCTTTTTTTTTGCTTTGGAAGGGCCGCTGAAGCAGTCTTGAGGGGAGGCTACTGGGAGGACAGGACAAAGGGATATGTGCTGGTGACAGGTCACAAAGGACAGCAGAGGATAAATGTAGTGATGTGAAGAGATGTAGACAGAAGCCTTGCAGGGAGATGGTATGTTGCCATCACTCCCTCTCTCTCTTGGGAACTCAGTTTGTAGCTGGCAAGTATGTCTGGAGCAAAGAGAACCGTCAGCAGTGAATATGTGCTACCTTATTACACAGCCCGCGACTACCGCGGGATGGGCGTTTTTAACAATTCCATGGGGGATCTGCAGTGGCAACTGTACAAGGGAGGGGAGTATGAGATCTTCAGGTATGCACCAATGTTTGAGAGCGACTTTATCCAGATCAGCAAAAAAGGAGAGGTGATTGACGTGCACAACCGTGTCCGAATGGTGACCGTGTGCATTGCATCTACCAGCCCCATGCTCCCGCTACCTGATGTCATGCTGCTGGCCCGGCCAGCCAAAGCCTGTGATGAGCATGTCAAACGTGGCCCGCTCACCAAGAAAAGAAATCAGAAGCCCTCGAGGACTCTGGAGCTCACCAGGCTTCTTCCTTTGAAGTTTGTCAAGATCTCCGTCCATGATCGTGAGAAACAACAGCTGCGCCTTAAGCTTGCCACGGGTCGGACTTTCTATCTGCAGCTGTGCCCTTCTTCAGATACACGTGAAGATCTCTTCTGCTATTGGGAAAAGCTTGTGTATCTCCTGAGGCGACCAGCAGACAGCAGCAGTAGTACCCCAACTGTTCAGACCGCGGATACAGCCTGTTCTGATGATAAGAGCCTATTGGTAAGCAGATGGAGAGCCTCAAGGAAATGGGATGGGGTGCTTAGGGAGGGGGAGAATCCCAGGGAAGGTCCTACAGGGATTTCTGTGCTGGGAGATGCATTGCTTTTGAAAGGGCTTAGGGCCAAATGAACCACTGCTAGGGCACTTAGCACCCTGGGAAGTTCAAGTACTTCTCCAAAGTGCACCATAATGCCAAATATCAGACATCTTAGGCATCAACTACTCTGTCTCACCCCCAATGCTATAACTGCTTCTACAACATCCTGAGGGTCCAGTCTCTTCTTGAGCATTTTATAAGTAAACCCATTCATTATGAAACATTTAAAAAATATACAATTTTGTATTTTAAGTGATGCATAGGAATTTTACTTATATATATACAGTACAGTGTGATATTTCAGTGCTTATATATAACATGTAATAATCATATCAGGGTAATATGCATGTCTATCACCTTATACACTTATCATTTCTTTGTGCTTGGAATATTCAAGATCCTCGATATTAGTTTTTAAAATATACAGCTAATTTTTTGTCAACCAAGTTATTCTACTATGACATAGAGCATTATGTTAACCCTCCTAGCCAAGACATCCCTGTCTCCATTAATCATCCGTCCATACCTTCCTCCTACGCACTCTTCCCCAGGTTCTGAATGCTAGTCTATTCTCTATTTCTTTGAGATCAACTTTTTAGTGTAAAACAGTTTTAACAATTAGAAAGTCCTTGTTTCATTTGAACCATGATCTGCCTCCCTGTGGCTATCATAAGCTGAGTTTTGTGTAAATCACAACAGCCCACATGTGTGCATACAAACACACACTTTGTTTCAGCAGTCACCAAAATGTGAAATGTATGCCCTGACCCAGCAATCCCACTTCTGGGACTGCAAACATAGAAGCACAAGAAATCACAGGGCAGGGTATTGCATCTGTGATATTTTTGGCACTAGAATTGTTCAAGTGAAACTGATTTTTGGCAGTAGTGTGCAAAAGAGATCTTGTGATTGATGGGAGCTGAGATTTGATGGTTTGGGGGTTCTAATGAGAAGCCCTTGAGTTGCTCAGCTCCAGGATGTGTGTATCAGGCAGTTCTGACTTCGTTCTCTGTTTTACCTGTCCCCTCTGCCCACCCTTGGCACAGGCTTCAGACCTCTATGAAGAAGAGGCTCTGGATTCTGGGCTTCTGAAGCTTTCTGAGGTGTGTGGAGCCACCTCTTCAGCTTTTGCTGGAGGAGAGGGAATCCAACTTGCTACTGCTGCTGCAGGATCCACCAAAGGAGGAACAGCAACGACAACGGGTGGTGTGGCAGCTGTGGGGTCGACAACCAGTTCTACAACAGGGATGGTCATAGCAGGGACAACAACGCGCCCGGGAGCCACAGCCGGTGCGATGGGCCTGGCAGCAACTAAGTCCGCAAGCTCAGGCCAGGTAACCACAGCCCTGGCAGGCACTGCCACCAAGGAGCCAGGAAAGGACGTAGCCAGCAAGGCCATGGCGGCTTCTGCCAACTTATCCTCAGAGGATATCAAAGTGCTGCTGGCAGGTGCTGCTACAAGCACCTCCTCAATGGGCACTTCCACGGCAGGGGCCACCAGCATCTCCCAGGACAACAGCATGAACATGGTTTTTGCAGGTGCTATGATGACTAGCGGGCCTGTGAGAGAAAAAGCTGCACAGTCACAGGCAGCACCTCTTGTATCAACCTTGCAGAGCGAAGGCTACATGTGCGAACGGGATGGCAGTCAGAAGGCTCCCCAGGTCAAAGCGGAGGCCAGGAAGGAAAAACGGGGAAGAAGAGAAAAGAAAGACAGAAATGCCAGTAAGAAAAGTTCACATCACCACAGGACAGGTGAAAGACATGGGCACAGGTCAGGTGGGGACAAGAGCCGGAAGTCAACTGCCCACCTGTCTGTGTCTGGCCATAAGAACAAGAGAGATGAAAGAAAAGAAAAAAGGCGGAGTCACACAAGGAGCAAGGGGCACGGCTCCTCTCACAAAGGTGCCAGCCACAGCTCCTCCAACAAGGAGTCCAGGTCCTCTCACAAAGTGGGGAAGAAACGATCTTCAGCCAGTTCAAGCTCTTTAAGTAAGAAATCTAGTAAAATCAGCTCATTTTTTAGGAACTTCATAACTGTGCCTGCTTCAAAAACAACCATCACATCAGCTGACAGAGAAGTAGGTATTGTGTCAAAGACAGTGGAGAAGTGCAACATACAGGCGAAGGTGGAGACAGGCCAGAAAGGCCAGGAGCTGGAGATCAGTGGCACCATGATGTCTGAGACAAAGGAGACCGTCATCTTTGAGGCCAAATCCATTTAAATAGGAGCTGAACTGGGAAGCTGAAACAATAACAACAGAGAGCTGGGCTCAGGAAAGGATCCCCAGTGAGCCAGTCACAGTTTAAATAATAAAGATCCTAAGACTCCAAGAGTGTGCTGTCTTATTTGAGTTTCTCTGTCCCCCAGCAGCAGTGACCTCACAGTGGTTTCTGTGATGTTAATGCTTCAGGCAAGGACAGCCTCACATCCCCAGACCCAACAGAGCCAATGTTGAGGACAGGATTTCAGCTCCTTTTTGTCTCTGGTTCCCTAAGGTCACAGAAGATGGGCTGGATGCATCACCACCTTCAGGTCCCCATGTCCGTCTTCCCTTCTTCCTGAAGGTTTGTGAATACAGAGATCCAGTCAAGTCTGTAGACTAAGAAAGACTACTGCCATATATCTGTAGGGGAAGGGGAGGATGCACTAACATCTGTATGTAACTGAAATAGTGGAGCCATCCTCTGGATCAGGACTTTGCTGCCCAAGTTGGGAGGTCCAGACAGTAGCCAGCTGCTTAGATTTGTAAGCAAAGTTTTATTGGAGCGCAGTCACAGCCATTCATTTCGGTGCGGCCTTGGCTGTTTTCACACCAAAATGGCAGCTTTGCAGTGTGCCATAAACACTACACGGCCCATGGAATCTGGAGGATTTACATTCTAGCTCTTTACAGGAAAAGTTTGCTGACTCCTGATCGAAATTTAGCAATTCCCCTTCCTCCTGTGTACATGCCCTGGAGAAAAGCTTGCGAGTGTTTATCAGGAGACAGAGAGATGAATGTTTATAGTAAAACAATTTGCAAGAACAAAACCCTGGAAACAGTCCAAATGTTCAACAAACAGAACTGATAAACTGGTACATGCCCCAGGGCTTGTTATACAAAAATAAAAATGAATAGCAGGTATTCATTTGAGTGTGGATGAACCTTACATAATGTAGAATAATAAAAGTAAGTCAGAGAACTATACACCATAAGGTTCCATATATACAGTAGTTCAAAACAAAGAAAAAAAATCCATGTTTGAAGTGCATATTTGCCAAAAAATGGTAGAATAAACAAAATTCAGGGTAGTGGTGATCTACAGGATGAAAGGAGAGATGTGGGCTATAGGAGGAAGTTGGAACAGAGTGGGAATTATTTTCTGTAATACTATGGATTGAGCTGAGGGTCACATGCCTTCTGGGCAAATACTGTATACCACTAAGCTAAATCCCCAGTACCCATTTAATTTTACTTTTTACTTTGAGAGAGTATTTTGCTAAATTGCTCAGGCTGGCCTTGAATTTAAGATCCTCCTGCTTCAGCTTCCTGAGTAGCTCAGATTACAGGGATGTGCCACCATGTCCAGCTGAATTGTTCTATTTCTTAATCAAGAGGGTATGTACATGGGAGTTTAATATATTTTTATCTTAACATCTCTGAAATCACAATTTTTTTTTTACTTTTTTTAATATTGGCACCAGGGATAGAACTCACAACTGCGTGCTTGCAAGGCAGGCGCTTATGCCGCTAAGCTAAATCCCCAGCCCCTGAAATCACAATTTTTAAGTCACTGGCAATGCCTTAGAAATACTTTAGCTGGATTATTTCATTTATGTCTTCCTTTTTATATCTGTGAGAGATTTAAAGAAAATATCTAATTCTGAAAGACATCTTCCACAAGTATAAAATCTTAGTGACATAAAAGAATATTCAGAACACTGAAATAAGAATTTTAAATATATAGTTAAATAATAGGAGACCAGGTGTGTAATTACCACATTTTCTTTATCCATTCTGTTGATGGATATATAGGCTTCTTGCAAGATTCAGCCAGTATGACTTGTGCGGCTTTAAAGATAAGTATGCATGTATCACTGTAATATGTAATATGATGTAATATGTATCTAGAAGGGGAATAGTTCAGTCAAGCAGAATTCCTAGTTTTAGTCTTTTGAGGGATGTCAACAGCTGAACTGCACAGTGAAACCCTGTCTCAAAAAGACAATAAATAAGTAAATATTTAACTTTTCTTGCTGCTGTTATGAAAGGTATTGTTTCCATAATTTGTTTCTTGATAAATTTATTATTAGTACATAAAAATGCTGTTGATTTTTTGAGTGTTGACTTTGTATCTTTGCTACACTGCTAAATTTGGTTATTAATTGTAGGAGTTCTGGTGAAATGTTTTGTCTTCTGTGTAAAGAATCATGTCATCTGCAAATAATGATAATCTGACTTCTTCCTTTCTATATGTACCCCTTTTATTTCTTTCTCTTGCTTGATTGCTTTTGCTAATGTTTAAAGAACGATACTGAACAGAATTGGTGCTAATGGAATCCTTGTCTTGTTCTTGATATTAGAAGGAAAGCTTTCAGTCCTCCCATTTAATATGATATTGGTCATTAGTTTGTCATTAATGGCTTCTATCAGACTGAGATAATTTCTTTCTACATCTACTTTCTTCAAGGATCTTATTATGAATGATATTGGATTTTGTCAAATCATGTGATTTTTGGCTTTGCTTCTATTTATATGATGTGCTACATTTAGTGATTTGCAATATGCTAAACCATCTCTGCATCCCTGGGATGAATCCTACTTGGCTATGGTCTTTTTGATGATTTTATTGCATTGTTTGCCAGTATCTTGTGGAAGATTTTTTAAAAATTCTTAAACTTTTAATTTTTATTGTTTGTAGTACATAATGATTACATTCATCATGTGGAGTGGTACATATACATAACACATCTTAATTTTTTTTACTTCCCCTCATCCCTTCCTTCTCCCTACCCCCTACTGCATCTCTTGGTCTCATTCCCATTTGCAAAAGATCTATTTCCATGTTTCCTATTATCTGTCTCTTTCTTTGCTCTGTTTTGTACACATTTGTAATACATTAAGATTACATTCATCGTGGGGAGTTGTTACATGTACATGAAATATCTTAATTCTTTTTTTTTTAATACACTTCCCCTTATCCTCCCCACCCCCTCATCTCTTGCACTTATAAAGAAATTTTGAAGATAGGTCCATTTAAAGAGGTTGGTCTGTAGTTCTCTTCTTTGGTTGGGTCCTTTTTTGATTTTGGAATCAGGATACTGTTAGCGCCTAGGAATGATTTTGGGAGTGCTCCTTCCCTTCAGTTTCACTAAACAATTTGGGTATATTTGGCATTACAACTCCCCTAAAGTTCTTATAGAACTCAGTGGTGAATCCATTGAGATCTAGGGTTTTATTAGTTGAGAGTTTTTTTTTCTTTTTAATTATTGCTTCAGTTTCATTGCCTGTTATTAGGTTATTGAGGAGTTTTTTAAATATAACTTTTTGTCATTTTGATTTGGGTTTGGTAATTCATACATGTCTAGGAATCTATCAGTTTCTTCTGAATTCTCCATTTTATCAGAGTATAGTTTCTCAAATTAGATACTAATAATCTGGATTTTGGCCGAGTTTGTTATGACTTTTTCTTTTTTTACTTTCAATTGCATTTTCTTTTCTCTTTTTAGTTAAGATTTGCTAGGGGTTTGTCTATTTTTTTTTTTCAAAGAACTAGCTTTTTAATTCAGTGATCCTTTGTATTTTTAATCTTCCTTCCTTCCTTCCTTCCTTCCTTCCTTCCTTCCTTCCTTTTCTTTTTTTCTTGCAGCAGAAACTGAAATCAGGACCTTGTGCTTGCCAGGACCAGGTGCTTATGCCATTGAGCTATACCTCAGGTTTTAATCTTAATTTCTGCTGTGATCTTTATAATTTCTTTCTCTATAGTAAATCTGGATTTGCATTGCCTTTGTTTTTCTAGGACCTTGAGGTGCATCATTGGGTTATTCATTTGGATTCACTCATTGGGTTTTTCTGATTTGGGTATTCATAGCTATAAGCTTTTGTCTTAGGACTGCTTTCATTGTGTCTCATAGGTGCTGGTATGTTGTACGAGCATTAACATTTGATATTAGGAATTGTATAATTTCTTCCTTCATTTCTCTTGTTGCCCATTGTTTATTCAAGAAGGTATTGTTTACTTTCCATGAAACTGCATACTTTCTATGCTTTTTTTTCTTCCATTAATATCTAGTTTCCAATTTCTTGTACCATGATCTGATAATATGCCTGGGATAATTTTGATTCTTTTGAATTTATATACAGCTGCTTTCTAGCTGTATATAAACAGCATGTGGCCTGTTTTGGAAAAAATTCCATGTGGTGCTGAGAAGTGTATTTCATTTTTACTGAGTGGACTACTCTCTATATATTAAGTCCATTTGTTTGAAGGTTTGATTCAACTCTGATATTTCTTCGTTGATTTTTTTATGTATTTGATCTGTCTAGTTGTGACAGTGAGGTATTAAACACCCCACTAAAATTGTGTTGGTGTTTATCTGCTCTTTTATATCTAGTAGTGTTTCATGAAATTGGGTGTGCTGGTGTTCAGTGTGCATATGTTTACAATTCTTAACTCTCAACTCTTAATTCTTAACTCTGTTGAATTGTTTCCTTAGGCAGTATGGAGAGACCTTTGCCTCTTCTGCTCAGCTTTGGCTTGAAGTCTACTTTGTCTGAAAATATGTCAGCTAATTACTTCTGTTTTTTCAGGTTCTGGTTTCATGGGATATTGTTTTCCATCCTTTGATTTTTCAATCTGTGAATTTCTTTTTAGATTAAATGTGTTTCTTATATACTGAATATCATTGGGTTTTGTTTATTGTTCCATTTTTCCAATCTTTTTATTTTGATTGGAGAAACGAAACATTCACATTGCATTATTACTGAAAGGTATTAACTTACTCTTGTAACTGCATTATTTTCCTGTTCTTGATGATCCTCCTCCTTTGATTAACTGCTTACCCTGCCTAGTACATACATTCTTTTAGCCTTTGCATTGCTGGTGTCATTGTCTCTTTCTAGGCTATTCTTGAGAATGTTTTGTATTGTCGGTTTGGTGGTCACACATTTCTTAAGGTGCTTTTTTGTCATGAAAATACCTTACTTCCCCATCAGTTTTGAAGAGAAGTTTTTCATGATATATAAGTCATAGTTGAAAGTTGTTATATTTTTAGGGATTGAAACACTTTGCTCCAAGGTCCCTTGGCCTTTAAGGTTTGAGTTGAGAATCTGCTGT